AAATTGAATATTATATTTAATTTTATTATATTTCATGATCATATTTCTATTTTGATAGGTTTATTTAAAGAAAATGCGTAGTTGAAAAAAATCTTTAGAATAAAATCAGATGCACAAGCAAACAGAAAATTTATTTTGAATGGTTATACATAAATCACAAATTCCAAATTTGTGGTTACGAATTATTACGAATTGGTTGCTAATTTGTGAAACCATTTTGACCCAAAAATTTTTACTTTGTGGTGTCAAGGTCAATGACCTAACTGAATTAATACAATAAAACAAGTACATAATACCATTGATTATAAATATTATTTATAATCAATGTTAATACCCAGTGGTTAAAGTGGGAAAAATGTTGTGGGGGGACTCTATTCATCAAAAATTGAAAAGCATTCCCCTACCTAATTCTAAATCTTACCAATCTTTTTTAAGGAAACCCATGAGGTCTAAGTTTCTTCTGTTTTACATATATATTCATAAAAACTTTATTTTCATAGGGTGCAAAAACAAATTTCCCCCAAAGAAAAATAATTCTATACATATTCCTGCTCAGTAAAAATAAATTTAAATACATAGTAGGTAATGTTTAAAAAATTTAACCTAAACTTAACAAAACTAAAAATTAACAATTACTATCCTTGCTAGTTGTTGGTTAACGTAGAAAGTAATCAATACGTACATTGTACATTAGGTGTGTACTATCTATAAGATAGTGTCTATCCTCTATCACAATTTAATATTTATACTATTTATAGTTATTCTATTCTGTTTATATTTATTGTAAATAATAGTCGATATCACTATCACTTTAATTTTAGAGCTATGGCTAATAACCGCTTGTGGATCATTTATAATTGGATACAGCGTCTATTAAATTAACCCATAGTGTACATTATCTACCATTTTTGCTTATCATTTTACTTATATGTATCTTATTTCCACTTGTTCAAATTAATCAAGAAAATAAATTTCATGTAATATTATAATAAGTATTGTATATTCAATATTGTATTTTAGTGACCAATGCCATTAAGCGTTCACCGGACTTTTGGCACTTAAATTAAAGATGACGCATAATCTTATCTTAAATAAGAATGGGGACTCCGTCCCCCTCCGTTCCCCCCACTTTAACCACTGAGCGCAAACACTTATTGAGGAAGGCGCCAGGCAAATATTTATATCATATATATAAAGGTAAATTTGTTTTCGTGTTAAATTTGTTTTCGTGTAGGGCGTGTCTTGATAAAGGTATAATAATGATGACAGACAGTGACGGTTGTACATTCAAAAGAGACAATCGTATAGTTGTTATTGGAGTTCGTATGAATAAAAGGTTTTCAATGGTTCTGAAAATAATGATTTTACCAGAAGCTGAATAAGAAAATATTGCAATTAAAAATCTCACGTTACTACTGAGGCATAATAGTAAAGTCATCAGAATATCCAATATGTTCAAGGTACTTGAAATATATGCGGATTTCATTTACAGAAACAAAAAATTAATTTTTCTCTGAAGCTTACATTTATGGCAAACATTACAGTGAGCTGTTCACATTGAGTAATAATAAAGCTATAAAATCAGGTCAATTAATTCACAGTGATGTATGAGATCCTACGGAGGAAAACTCACTTGGAGATAAACGGTATTTTGTTATACTTAAAGATGATTATTCTAATTATACGTATGTGTATTTTATGAGCCAATAATCAGAAGTTAAAAATAAATTTGTACTATTTTTAAATACAATCTAAAATCAGTTAAATATTTCAATAATTACTTTAAGAAGTGATTGAGGTATGGAATATAAAAATACAGAAATCAAATCCATTATGGATAGATTTGGTGAAAAAACATGAAACGAGTGTATCATACACACCTCAGCAAAATGATAAAGCAGAAGGTTCAATGCGAACATATGTAGAAGCAGCCAGAACTGTTTTATACAGCAAAAATGTATCTGAGACACTTTGGGCAAAATCAGTGAATACAGTCATGTATACAATAAACCGTAAAGGTAGCACAGGTCAAGATGAACAAACACATTAAGAATTATGGTTTAATAAAACACCAGGTATAAATAACCTGAAAATATTTAGTAGCGATGTTAATACACATGTACAAAAAGAAAAAGGAGAAAATGGGATCAAAAGGGGAAAAAAGGTATTTTCGTTGGATACTCAGAAGAGACGAAAGGATATCGAATATTTTTTGATGGAAAAGAAGTTTCCTTAAATAGTAATGTAATATTCAAAGAAGAGTCTAAAATCCTACCGACAGCTACAGAAGTAAAACTATAAATGAAAAAGAAAAGAATGACATCAATTCAAAAGATGTGGCTATAAACATGAAAGACAAAAATGATGAAGAATTCTTTTGTGTTCGTCGCAAAAATCGACAAAAACTAGTTCACTCCGCGCAGTTGCAATAACGCGATTCAAGTATCGTCCACACGAACAAGGACTTGCATGTAAAATAACAGATTCGGTACGTTCATGTGTATACACCTTAAGACATTATCTTTAACTTTTTTGATTCTTGATCCATTTTTCTTACCATACAATTTTCGTGACCAATGTTAGCTTCGTTATGTATTAAAGTTATAACTATTTAAAAATTAGATTAACTGAAGACGTAAGTAGCCTAAATTATTAATGTATTCCACTTAAATGTCAGTTAATTTTATTTAATTAAATTCATTAATATTTCATAAAAAAAAAAAATAGTCTGAAACAATATATTAATATCAATAATCTCTAATGAAAAGTGTCGAGTGTTTCTAATTCATCTGATCTTTAAAGGGGCTCTTTAAAATTTCCTAGACTTGGGGTCTGGGGAAAAATTGTTCCGTTGTCTCCCCTTGACGACGGCCCTGAATATAGTAAATACAATTTGATTTTTTTTGTAAATTAATATTACACATATGAAGAATTTTTTTTTACAACAGTTTTATATACTAAAATTGTATACCAAAAACTGTTTTAACCCTATGGATTATGACAGTAGAATAACCAAGAAACTTATTTATAATATAAAATATTTATTGTCACGAAATCTTTGTGAAATACTATAATACGCATTTACTATCTTGTCATTTCTTAGAAAAACCTATCATATTGATTTTTTACACAGATTCAGAATTACAACGTAACATTATTGATTTATATCAGCGTTTCCCAAAGTGTGTTCCGCGGAACCTTAGGGTTCCGTAGGACAACGCTAAGAGTTCCGATACATCTTGAGATCTTGAGATTGAGAAACTTATTTTATATTATATTTGGAATAAAATAACTATAGGTACCTTCAAAAATTTTAGAATGGATTGAAAATCATTTTTCTAGTATAAAAAAGTCCAAGTAAATTATAAATACTGACACTTAGTAGTATTCTTCAACACTTAAATTGGGATCTGGGTTTGCTCGATTTATTTGTCGTTTAGATATTCTTTTAGTACTCAAGTCTATATCTATAATTACTGACATTTCCTATTACAAATGTCAAATATAAACATAATTCATATAATAATATACTTTATTTTAGTATACTTACTTTTGCAAGCAAAAACAATTTGTGAAATTTAATATCACAATTTAATCTGATATTTTTTAATACAATGATAATGTCTTCAGCAAGGCTTACTGTTTCTCTTAATTCAATTTTTTAATTGTATATCAACTTACACAATGGTAATCCAAAAGAAAAAACCAGAATATAACTAGAAAAATATTTTATGATAAAATAAAATAAATTATATTTATGAATTACTATTTAATTGCATAACTTGTAAGGGTATAAGAAATTCTGAATCAATAGCTTTTAATACTATATTAGCTTCCGTTAAAGTGGAATCATTCCAATTAGAAATATTTTCTAATGATTCAACTACGAATGCAAATAGTTCAATGGAATCTGTTACCACATCATAACGCTGCACCCATCGTGTAGCATATAATCTTTTTATAGTTTTAACCTTAGGATCCTCATTACTATTTTCAATGTTGTTTAAAAGAACATTTTGACGTTTTGGTGTATTAAATAAAATGTAGACGTTTACGGATAAATATTTATAACCGGTTTTTTTTTTTTTAGTTTCGTAATAATTTAAAAATTTGTATTTGAGCTATTTGTAGGTTTAAGACAATAGAAAATATATAAATACAGCTCATATAGATCTATCCCACATATCCCCACCCGTAATTGAGCCCTTGCATTTACAATATTAGCAGTATCATTAAAAACATATTAGTATTGGTTTTCCTTTTTTTTTAGAAATATTACACAAACTATTTTTTAAGGGTTTCGTGATAGTAAAAGTTTGGTAATCGCTAATTTATATTATAGAATTTTGTGCATTAAAGTGTGGGTGTGTGTGTATGTCATTATATTATTTATTACATTTCATTATCAGTATACATTTTGTGTCATTATTTTTGATTAGCCCTACAGGCTACAAATAAACGATTGCAAAGGAAGCTAATTTTATATTTCTCAAAATTAGTCGGTGGTTCAACATCGTTACTTACTCAGCATTTTGTAGTAGATACTAAGTTGTTGGTCGTTATTTATTTACAAACGATAAAATTAATTTTTAGTCGAATTAGACGATCAATATTAATGATTTATAAATAGTTAGATACGCAAATTTAAGTCTGATAAATAGTTGGCAGTACGTGATGAAAACCGACTAATAGTCAATAGTATCATATAGTCACTTCTCCCCATCTCTAGTCCGAAGGCGAACGAATACTGAACCGGTCATTCGTTCGTGATCGATTTTTTTACACCTATATATTCGATACGACAGGGGCGTATTTAGATATAATTTTGGGGGGGGCTGTGGTATTTTCTCCAACTGAAATTCCCTAATTTAGCCTATTAAAAATAAGAGTTAGAAAATTAGTACACAATTTTAATTTTTGTCATGATTTTTAATGTTTTCAAAAAATTAATAATGAAATAATATATAATAATAATAATAATACAATATTAATATAACAAATTAAATCAAATTTAAATTTCTTTCTTTGCCACTGTTAGCAAATTTATCTAATAAAATGTCATCTGGTATGTCAATGTCTCTGTGAATAGCTAAAAGGGCAAGTCCCACTAGTCTGGATTCTGAAGTTGTATTTCTTGAATACGTTTTGAGTCTTCTCAACGTTGAAAAGCTGCGCTCAGCTGTAGCGGTGGATACTGGTATTATAGCTAGAATTTTTAGTAATTCATACATGTTTGGATACATTAAATTATCACAGACACTCAAAGCCTCTATAGCAGTTTTGGGCCTTAAGTTGTCTTCAATATTCTTCCACTTAGCTTGCCAAATTTCGTACTCTGCTTCTATAACGTCGTTTAGCCCCGGTAAATCATTTTCATAAAATTCAACAGCTTTTTTTAAATAAGAAAATGGTTTTTCAACAACAATACTTGGTAAGACATATTGTAATGAAGTTATAGTTTCATTGTGAAGTATAAATCTTTCATTTAATGCCATCATCAAATCGTCCAAGTACAGTATAAAAATAGATTTTTTGTAATATTCTTCAATGTTGTTAGATAGTACATTGCTTCTATTTCTTTGACTGCTACAAATACGAGGCATTTTTGGTTCAATATTTAACTTTTCAGCAACATCTTTGGCTTCTTTATAAATATTGTTAAATTTTAAATCAACGTTTTCTCTTATGGATTGAAACACAGAAATTACACCGGAAACTTGATTAAGAGCATTAAATAAATCAATATTTTTGCTTTGTAAATATTTCGATAAATTATAAGTATAACTTAATAGTTTACTGGACACACAAATAGATATTAAAAAATTAAAGTTGCAAATACAATGTAAAAGGCTATTAGCTCTTTTTGAAGAATCGGTCCCAGAACATTCACTTTGCACTTCTTCTAATGCAGCTACAACGGGCTCTACAAATTCTTTAAAAAGCATAACTGCTTCATGGCGTAACACCCAGCGAGTTTCACATAAAGATTTCAATTTTGTAGATTGTGAATTTGGTTTAATTTCTTTTATTTTATTTTTGAAGACTGTAGTTCGTTTTACCGAACTGTTAAAAAAAGAACAGCATTCACTTATTATACCAAAAGCATTTCGAATATCTTGAGATTTTGTAGCATCCGATAAACAAAGATTTAGTGAGTGTGATACACAATGTGTGTATAATGCTTTTGGGTACATATCTTTAATAATTGCTTGAACACCTCTAAAACGACCACGCATTGCTGCAGCCCCGTCGTAACCCTGACCTCGCATTTTATTCAAATCAAAACCAATTTTTTTTAATGTTTCTTTAATCGTGTTAGCCAAACCTTCACCAGATATATCATATACCGGAACGAATGTAAGAAAATCTTCTCGAATTGAAAAAACCTGCTCGTCAACATAACGAATACATAATGAGAACTGTTCAATTTGAGAAATATCAGTCGTTTCGTCTGCAAGTATTGTATAAAAATTAGTTTTTAAAACTCTTTCAAGAATTTTTGACTGAATTAAATCACCAAACAAATTTATTATTTCGTTTTGTATAAGTGGACTTGTATACATAGATTTACAACCACTAGTTTCCAAATGTTCTTTTAACACGTTGTCACCATTTTTCGAGCGATATCGAAGCAAACAACGAAAATTGCCATCGTTATTTTTTGGTTCTTCTAAAGAAATTCTACCAGAATCTTCGTGCCCCCGTAACGCTATTTGCTGTCTACCACATAATTGAATTGTTTGAATAATTGGCTTAAGTTTTGCGCGATTTTTTATAACTTCATCTTTTCGTTTACTATTTAATTGTACTAATATATTATCTTGTTTTTTTTCTAAAATTGCTTTTATGTTGTCAGCAGTAAGTAACGAATTTTTATGGTAATCATTTTTTTCGTGATTTTTAAAGTCTTCCAATGCGTCTTTTAACTTTGTCAAGGGTTTTAAAACAAGTTTACCTAACTTCTCATGTGATCCCTTACCAACCTGATTTAAATTTAAGAACAGTACACAGAATTTACAAAATAAACCCTCTCTTAATTTTGAATATGCTAACCATTTGAAAGTTTCAAGCCATTTAATTTGAAATTTACGTTTATATTTTCCACTATTGTCATATGGGAAATTAAACTTTAAATCGGGTGTCCATACGTTTTGCAAAATTGAAACTTTCTCTTCGTCACTTAAATTATTCTTGCATTCAACATAACCTCCTATATCAAGCTTAGAATCTAAACATTTTAAACTAGGTTCAATTACCGGAGAAATAACTGGTGGACTTGGAGCTTTTTTTTCTGTTTCAAGTGTTGCAATAATGTTATTATCTTGTAAAACATTCGATGTAGATGGAACTGTATCATCGATGGATTCGGTGGACTGTTTAGATTTTTTATAAAAATGCAACAATGATTGTTGAGTTCTTTTCATTATGCTTAGGTGTATTATTATTATTTTATTTAACCAACAAATAAAAACACTCGTTACAATCCACTGTCTTAGTAGTTAGTAGGTACGTACTACGTGCGATACTAAACGTCGTATATATCAGACAACAAATATTTATCTATAATAGCGATTAAAATATAACAGCGTTATCGGCCGTCGTCGTCACAACTTCTCGGAAATATTTTTAGCTCATATAGGCTCGTAATACTCGTATAATTATTGTACGGTGATTGAAACGCGACAACGCGTGTATATCAGTAAATCAATTCTAGATAAAAGAAATCGAAATTACGATAATGCAGCAGTACCGCATGTCAAAATTAAGCATTATGTACCTTAGTGAACTTTTACGATTTTACATCTAGTAGGACATAATACGTAGACTTAATAAACAATTCCTGGATTTCGGGGGGGGCTGAAGCCCCCTCAGCCACCCCCATAAATACGCCCCTGCGATACGATTTGGTATTTCTAATACGTATTCATTTGCATTTGCACCATAATGTAAACGCACTTTAATAAATATTCATATCAGCATAGTTAACATAGTTTTAGGTATTAACAGTGGTCAAAGTGGGGGGACGGAGTCTCTCTTCTTATTTAAAGTAAGTATATGCGTCATCTTTAATTTAAGTCGCCAAAACTCCGGTTGGAAACTTAATAACATTAGTCACTAAAATACAATATTAATATACAATACTTATTATAATATTACAATATTACATGAAATTAATATTCTTAATTTATTTGAACAAGTAGAAAAAATTTTGTAGAAATAATATTTAGGTATAACGATAAGCAAAAATGTTGGATAATGTACACCATGGGTTAATTTAATTGACGCTGTGTTTAATTATAGATGATCCCCGAGCAGTTATTACTCATAGCTCTAAAATTAAAGTGATAGTGATATCGACTATTATTTAGAATAAATATAAACAGAATAGAATAACTATAAATAGTATAAATATTAAATTATGATAGAGGATAGACACTATTTTATAATATAGACAGTATACACCTTATGTGCAATATACATATTAGTAACTGTCTACGTTGATCAACAACTAGCAAGGTTTGTAATTGTTTCTTTTTACTTTTGTTAAGTTTAAGTTGTTTTTTAAACATTACCTACTATGTATTTCAATTTTTTTTTTTTTTTTTTTTGAGCAGGCATATGTATAGAATTATTTTTCTTTGAGGGAAATTTGTTTTTATACCCTATGAAAATAAAACTTTTATGAACATATATGTGTAACAAAAGAGGCTAAGACCTCATGAGTTTCCTAAAAAAGGTTGGTAGGATTTAAAATTAGGAAGAGGAACGCTCCTCAATATTTGATGAATATCGTCCCCCACAACATTTTTCCCACTTTAACCATTGGGTATTAACATTGATTATAAATAATATTTATAATCAATGGTATTATGTACTTGTTTTATTGTATTAATTCAGTTAGGTCATTGACCTTGACACCACAAAGTAAAAATTTTTGGGTCAAAATGGTTTCACAAATTAGCAACCAATTCGTAATAATTCGTAACCACAAATTTGGAATTTGTGATTTATGTATAACCATTCAAAATACATTTTCCGTTTGCTTGTGCATCTGATTTTATTCTAAAGATTTTTTTCAACTACGCATTTTCTTTAAATAAACCTATCAAAATAGAAATATGATCATGAAACATAATAAAATTAAATATAATATTCAATTTTTAGTTACAAATAATAACATTTTCAATATTTTGTAGGAATAATTTAAAATTTAATCTATTTACAAGAAATAAAATAATAAACATATGTTTTATAAACATTTTTCTTGTTTGAATCATCTTATTTTAATTAATGTCTTCATTACATTTTTTCATTATATTTATATACAATACATACATGTATTTATA